GGGGGGGGGCGGTGACCAACATTATATTACATGAGTCATACGTGGCTGAACCCACGACGTTCATCTGTCCTCATGTGCCCCCCGCCCCGTTTTGGCTTGTGCTCAATCCATCTTCCTGTCTGAAATTCAATCGACATTAAACCTGTTGGCTAATGGCCAGACCCCGAACTTAACTGTGGCCCAGCCCCGGCCTCCCGTGCCCTTCGCGCCATCTGCTCGCCAGCGCATGTGTTCTGGCTCGCAGGCCCATACACCTGAGCCCTCCGAGTTGAGGGAGCTCGTATGTCTGAAGGGGCTCCATTAATCGGCGGGGGATGTGGCACCGAGCCCTGAATATATCACTCATCAGGACATGCTTTTCAGAAGCTGAAGAAGGGTTCATCTCATCACTGAGCATCTCACGCAATTATCTGCCCACATCATCGAGCGATAGTGCATTGAGTAATAGGTTAAAGGGCACTTTGTAAAAGCATTTGTACTGTTATTCAGTGTTTCTCAACCCAACCCTCGCGGATCCCCAGCCAGTTCACATTTTCGCTCCCTGTACCAAGTACTTGGTGTTGGGAGCTAGGAGGGAGCGAAAATGTGGACCGTCCTGAGGTCCCCAAGGACTGGGTTCGAGAATCACAGCTATGAGTAACAGTAAATATTTTCATCCACTTTAAACAATGAACTTGCATTGAAACAAGTACATAGATATCTGCAATGGGGTACGATGTGCCATTTGCACACAGGTAATGTGTTTTTTTTTTTGAGCCGCTCCTGAGATAATCGCTAGTGTGCTGTGCCATGCCCCCCCCCCTGTTAAATTCAGCACTTTCTCCCCCGGGGGCTCTCAGCGATACACCTGCTTATTTCTTCACTGCCGCTAGTAGCCCACTGAAATTTTATCGTATAATTGTGGCTCTGTCATGGCGGCAAGCGAGCCAGCAGCCCGGAGGGTGGTCGGCAGGGGCCTGTTAAACGTCTTGCATGTCACTAATAGCTTCAAGATGTGAGGGTTCCCCGGGGGATGCGGGGGAGGGGGGGGGGAGGCAGTTCCAGTCCACTGCAGCAGTAATACGCCAATTCTGGATCCTACCGAATAATTATGCTGCGAGCCAGCATGGCGTTCCCCATCTTTATACGAGGGGGCTTTCTCTGGGCCTCTGCGGTCATCCTCGCCCCCCCCTGCCGTTTGTGGGCCAGCATAATGACGATGGAAGATGGCAGCAAAACCCAAAACTTTGACGTGGAGCTAAGGTGGGGTCGGGGGAGGGATCAAGGGCGCCATAAAGTGGAGGGGGAGTTAGGATGATTCCAAGGGCCTCTGATGTCCAAAAAATTGGAACATAACTGGATTGGTCTGAGTTGGGGGCCCATTATAATATATATATAGGCTTTCACAGGGGCCAGGATCACTAGCAGCACGCCTGTGGGGGAACTGAATGGGAGGTTTCTGCTGGGTTTCAAACTTCAGAATGCAAAAAAAAAAAAAAATCGATGTGCAAAGGAGAGTCTGGACCTGACGTCCATGTGGGACTGGCTGCGGCCTTCAGTTAATGACAAGATTCTGTGCTCTCCAGAAAGTCCTAGAGACCGCCGTGTTCGCCTCAGGCCCCGCAGATAACTCAGTGTCTACTGTACTCGGCTCCGCTAAAGCTGTGGGTGATGTTTACGGTGGGGGAGGGGTCGTCATTCTCCAGCGTACTGTAGGTGGGCTTCGACCTGCTGTTGCGCAAAACTTCTGTAACGTTCACCCCCATGTGGCGTTTGTCACGTACAGGCAGCGAGTTTCCTGAGTCAGCCGCATGACCCGTTTAAGATTCCAGCCACCCTCAGACATTCTGTTTTTTTATTTTGATGTGGCACTAGGGGTTTCAATGAGTAACAAACAGGGGCAGCGTTAAGTCTAATTCTGTTGTATCCAAAGAGCAAAATGCACACACGAGCAAGAGCACCTCCATACCACTCAGGATTCAATTTTTCTGTTTTTTAACTTCTTTCTGAAATGATCCCCCTGTTAAACCACATTAAAGAGTATCCCGCAAGCTTAGGCAGTTAAAATTACTGCATCTAAATTAGTTAAATTTATAGTAGGCCTACATTTAACCATTTTCTATTTGAAATGCCCACTCTTAATGGATCCGCCTGTTGTCTGCATTGTGGGTGCAGTTTGTGATCAGGGCAGCCCCTCTCCATCCTCCGTGGAGTGAGTCATCCTATGAATCAGACTGCCCCCTTCAGGTCTGGCAGACACATGACGGCGTCTTCCTGTCTGCCCCCGGAATGCAGCCATCTCTGAAGAGGCTACTGCGGAAATGTAGGTGTCTGTTTTTTTCTTTTTTTTTTTTTTTAATTGAGGGAATATTTGTAAGGGCCAATGATTGTTGCTCAAGAATATGCAACACCTCTCTACCCTCTCTGCCCAAGACGTCTACGCAGAAATGGCTGGCCAGCCTTAAGATGGGGAGCTTTTAAAATAATGAAAATGGCCACATGAACGTAGCTACCAGACAATAGCCTGGTGAAACTTGAGAACCAGTGGCTTAGACTGTGCTCTTCTGCCAAGATCTACAAGCAGAACTGAAGCAGGCCTTCATGATGTAAGACTTGGCAGTTCATTAAAAGTTTCAGACCTTCTCCAGAAAACCCAGATCAAACAAGTTTGTAATGTATACAGTTTGTATACGCGCGTAATGGACAACAGATGGCGACTTAAAAAACCAAGGAGAAGAGTTTGTCCTTGACAAATATTAACTTGTCCATATAAAAAAAAAAAAAACACTTTGTGCTGATGTTCGATTCCTCGACAGTAGCAGGACTCCTTGTCACCGGTCCCTCAAAAACACACGCAGACGGTAAGTAAAGAAGGTGATGGTTTTGAACCGTCAGACCTCACGTCTCAGGAGCGCTGCTGACTTTGCGGTGATCGTTGGCACCAACACAAACGCGAGCAGCCCGGGAGCCTCTGGATTAGAGTACTCCGCGACTCCCTGCCAGCGGTCATCCATTTTCCTAGCAAACCACAGAGACCTAGACACCATCAGACGATGCATTATGCTGCGCTGCATCCATGTTTGCTCACTGAACAAATATTTCCATTGAAACCAATTAATATACATTTATTTATTTATTTATTTATTTATTTATATATACATGACTACATATTTAATTCATATCGTTCAGTATCGACTGAGACTTCAAAACTACAGCACACTACCTTGTGAACTGAATTGGCATTGTTGGTATGCGTTATTTTAACACACAATTATAAAGTTTGTAATGTATTCACAAGGCAATGAATGAAGGCAATCAATGACAACATATGAGATACCAAAGATTACTTATAAAGAATAAGCATGACAAATGCACAAATAACAGTCCAGAGTTCTACTGAATAAAGTAGCAGAATGTCTCCGTGGAGAAAGTTCTACGCTTCTGTTTTACTTGTTCTGTCCACATGATGATTAAATATAATTTGAATACATGTATAGGAAATCCAGCTTCTTTTGTGTTTTCACTCCTTATGTGTATATTCAGGTGGATGGACTTCATACATTCGACATTTAATTCAAAAATGAGAAACAGCGCCCTCCTCTGTTGGACTCTGAAACTTTAACGATTAACTCATTCGTAGCCTGCACATGCCTATTGCTGTTATTTTACTCATGCATCTTCGGGCCTCTTCTACTGGACGGGGTCTCTCAGGCAGACCGCAGCCTAACAAGCAGAACAGGGCCGACACTATGGCCATTTCAGAGCTGCCAACTTAGCTTTAGATTGCGGGAGAGAAGGAGCAAAGTGCGCATTCAGATGAATACACAGATAACGGAGGTGGGATTCGAACCCCCAAGGTAATACTTCAAACATTTTTAAATCATAACTTCCTTTAAAATCATAATAGTGCCTAAAAATCAAACTGACGTAACTCAAATAACCTCACACACCCATCCATGTTGGAATCATTAATGTGTTAATGATTTAATGTATTATTTAGGAGATTTCCACTTTTGGACTAAATCCCCGAAGTACCGATACTATTCAAATAAGAGGGAACGATTACCAGACACTAAAATGCCACCGGATTATACCTCTATCATATTTCAATTCGAATAGGCTATAAAACCTTTCCTATAAAACATAAAACGCTTCGTTTTGCCGCTGCAGAGTACATGCTTTGTGTGGTGCACTTGATACGATAACACTATACATCTCCGAACTTCAAAAAAGGAGGATTAAATTTAATAGAACCACTTCCAAAAGAATCACGTCCCTGGCTTATTATTTTTCTCCGCTCTCAATGACAACCTCCTTCCAGAATAAGGGGGAAAACGCGCAGCCGTAACATCTGGTGCGTCGCTGAAGAAGGAATTTAACACCATTGTTAGAATGATGCTCCGTAATCACCTCTCTGTATTCGAGTTGGACAATAGCTCATTAAGCATTTCTGAGATTCCGTGGATACCAAGGCGCTAGTTAAATTTATAGCAGGCCTACTTTATTTATGGTACACTGAAATGTGACACATTGTCTGGCGTGGCCTTTCAAATCCAAAAGACATTACTTCTTAAATGCTATCGAAATGATCTTTAACAAATAAAGAGGATTCATTTGCGACAGTGCTTTATTTATTTTCACGCAAAGCCACAGACCATAACTTTCTCTATGCGATTGCCCCCATCTGTTTGCAATCCGTCCTTAAAAATAACACAATTCAAAACACGGGGAAAAAACCCTTAATTACGAACCTGATTGGTGCGCTTCCGCTATAAACACTCCTGCGATCACAGGGTGGACG